CAAAATGAAAAATTACGAATAAAAACAATTCTAGTATGTAGATAGAAATAAAATACAGAATACAATTTGTCTGGAATTATACAGTGCGAGTTCTAAACTTGCCTGTTTGTTTGCTCTGGATGATAGTTTAGAATTATTCCTTGTCATTATTGATTCCTCCTCCAACAGTTCTACAATATGCTGTCACTGGTAATTGCCTGCTGGGCGTTGTGTGCAGAGCTTCTTATAGTCTGCAGTGCAGAGTGAAGTTTTTTTTATGTTCATTGTACCTGGTCTATGTGCAATGGTGATTTTACAGTCAATGTTTTTCATCGAAGGATTTGCTTTTTTGTGGTTCATGTGCGTTGCTTATATCTTATCTTAAATTATTTATTTAGCTGCTGTCATTTTTTTTCATACATTGCATGTCAGACATATTCAAGCAAGTGACAAAATCTTCCGACCTAAGTTTGTAGCCCTTTCAAAAGGAAAGCTCTGTAATTTGTCTTGATATAAAGCATTGCAGCAACAAAACAAATGTGCTTTTACTTGAATTACCAAACAAACAAGAATCAATTCTATAATTGTTGTTAACATTTGAATGTCTGTGTCAGTTCGATATGATGAAACGAAAAAAAATAATCTATTCATCAAAATGATTTGGCTACAGCTGCTGTTCTTTAGCTGAGGTCGTAGAGGAAGATGTGTCAGTCAGTCCTTATATGGACTACTACCACTCTGACACACACCCCCACTGAGTGCTACAGAGTGCAATGTCCAAATTCAACACTGCTAACCGGGCCATTAATGACAGACATTGCAAGGTAGAGACAGATAAGTTGAACAATTTGGAAGATATGCATTCCACATTCTGACAAAAAGACAGATGATTGTTGAATGAGAAAGTTAAATGATTGTTTCTGTTATTGCTGTAGTTGGTGAAGGTGCTGCAACATGTGACCTATAATAAATGTTAGATGAGACATGGGAACATTACAAAACACTCATTTGTAAATTTAAATTGTTTACGGAGAAGAGATCAGAGTATCATTTTGTGTCTGTGCACATAAATAAAAGAATTATTAAAGTGTGTGTGTGTGTGTGTGTGTGTGTGTGTGTGTGTCTGTGTGTGTGTGTGTGTTACAGTCTTGGAATCTGCAGTAATGGAAGACATCCATCTGATTTTGACAGTGGTCCCAGGGAAGCATTGCATCATGGGACTCGGAACGTGATCAGGTTAAACATGACAATAGCAATCAAACAGATTATGATTTACAGCACGATCAGTCTTGCTTTCTACTATGCTTTGATTCATTTCTAAACTATGTGTGATATGCACTGATAACCGCAGTGGTGTTTATGTTGATATTGTTTCTATGACTATGACCAACTGTGCTATTTGTGGGTGGATGCAAACTTTCAAAATAAAAATTTGCTCTGTATTTCCGAATAAACAAGATTTACACCTTGAAAAATTCGGAGATGATAATCTTATTTATTCAGAAAAAAAGTGAATGCAGCAGCTTCTGTAACAGTGCAATTTCAGCCAATATTATTTGGGGTAACGGGATCTGGTTGTGTTAGTGAAGGAGCTTTCAAAAGGCTGTGCAGGAATTGTTTGAGGGAAAGTTGCAGGATTTTATCCATGAAGAATAGGCCAGATCACATTTCATATATTCAGAAAACAGTTTTTGTTGTCTTGTTGGACAGCTCTGTATTTATGGGCTTTAGATGATTTTGAAATTATCTCACCAGTGTTTTGGGTTATAGTTTTATCTCATTTTCTGCAGAGCTTATTTACTGTACTTACTGTAAAATGCTGACCACCATAAATGTGGGAAGGCAGTCACTGGTTTAAATTAATTTCATTAAAATATGAAACTTACCTTGTTTTGGTCAAAACTGCTTCTTTCTGTGGTAATTGTATATTAATTTAAAGATAACCTCAAACAATATCTAATTAATTATTAATTATTGAGCCTGAAGTGATTGTCTGACTGTAACAATCTCATTGCATTTATTGTTAACATTGTCTTTAATAAAGAAACGGTGGTTATCGCCAACTGTGTCACTCCCTTTGGTTAACCAGCAAATTACTCATATCACACACCTCATGATTTAATGAATAATAATGCTACATGTTAGGTAGAAAATAATTTATATTTAATAGCTGTCAATAACAACATGTAACTGGATGTGACGCATGATGCTTTTCAGTATTTAGTATATGCAGCACAAATAAACGCAAAGGGTGGTCTCTTGTTAGAAGCATGTTTAGTTTTGCTGTCAGAATCCGTGTTGGGCACAAGTACACATACTGAAAGCAGTTTTCCTCAGAAACAGACATGAGGGCGTGACATCTTACAACAGATTCTTGCTTAATAAACTCAAGTAAAAACTACATTTCCTGTTAACTGTGTTGCAACATTTTATGAATGGGAAGGTTTTTACCAAATGTTTTTGGAATGAAAAATGGCAAAAGCTTATTTTAACTGGTAATATACATTCACTGGAATTGTGGCATTGGCTGGAAATATACGCAATCCAGTTTTAGAGAGAAACTCTTTCACAATTAAACTCACCTTTGCACATCAACTATAATTTTACAAACTAGTTTTTCTTGCAGTATAAGTTTGAAATTTGTCAAAAACATTAATTTTGATTCAAAGAAAAATAAACTTAATGTAGATGGCCTTGAAACTGGATGGTTTTGTTTTATAAACTGATTTAGGTAAGAAGTCATATCTCAGCTTATTGGCCCCATCTAGTGGTTACTTGTCTGACATGCATCTGCACTCACACCCTTGCTTGGACTCACTAAGCATTTTAATCAGCTTCGACCAATTTGTTTGCAATATGATAACGATTTTAGGGTTTAGCTTTCAAATGCCCATTTGTTTGTAATGATATTGCGAATACAGGATAATAGAAGACTAAGGTGAAATATGTCAGAATTTGTTCATGTATTTATAAAACAATATAAATCAGAATCAGATTATTAACTATATAAAGGCAGTGAATGCAGAACTGTAAAACCTGATGCTGTAAATGAATAGAATTGGAACACACATTAATCATGATTTTAAATGAATTATGATTAAAATATTAGACTCGTGATTACTGGACACTGTCCAGCAATAGTGTTTACTGTGGCAATAGATAATAGAGATTATAGATCCAAAACCAACAGACTCATAAACCTCAGCTGCTGCTGCTGCTGACATGAGTAAAGTGAGTGGAATTGGATGATAATTACATCAGAAAATGTAGTGATATAGATTTTTCTTTATCACTGACAGCAATACAGTCTTCTCCAGGAACATATTTCCATACTCAGGGGCATGGCAACAGTGCCAACCACAATTCCTGAGTTGTTCTGAACTTGTTCTAGCTTGCTCAAATCTTCCTCATCACAATCTCTCCAACGTTGCCATCCTGACCTCTGACTGACTGATATTCACTCTAAAACAGATCAGCAAGGAGTTCCTTTCCCCTATTTACATTTTCCACCCACTCTGCTCTCAGCGATACAAGCCACTGACCAACTTTATCCACAATAGTCAAACTGGGCATCTCAGACCAAACCATCCAGGTCCTTGAAGGCTGATGAGCTCAAGCACATCACTCCTACATCCAGAACCATCTTAATGGCCTAAATGAAAACCATACTTGAGTGGACTCACTTTAAATGTGACCTTTATTTTGATGGGCCTGTATTTAGATGGGGTGGAATCACACATGAGATGGAACCGCCACTTTGAGTCTCCCTCCCACTGGACTTCTGGTGCGTCCTCCCAAAGTATCCATCTTCCCATCTCCCCTCAACATCTATTCATCTGTCCTCAACATCCAATACCTCAACGTCCATTAAAGCCTTTAAATGACATGTGGTCCTTGCTCGTGAAATGTACATTAAATATCCAGGTTTTGCACAATTTCTTCAGCCACTATAACAGCACAAAAAATTACTTAGGCAGTAACATATGCAATCCCTGCTGTACAGATTTTAATATCAACTGTTTTGAGAATCGACCTCAGTGGCAATTATTTAATAGAAAGATGTTTTGCTCAAGAGAAGGATGAAGAAAACAAACATATTCCCACGTATTACATGTACGTTTGGAACTGATAAATAAAAAGTGATTACTTGGATTACCTATTGATGGTGCTATGGTTGTACAGGTAGGCGACACAATATCAATGCCACGTTAATTGTGAAATACCAATATAAATATTATAAGAGAACGAGCAGTGACGAACAAAGACAAAGTCACTTGATGTAGAACTGAACATGCAGAGCAAATGATATAGACACATTTTATTTGAGATGCTCAGCAAGTCTTGACCTTGGGAAACCAGGTGTGTGTGTGTGTGTGTGTGTGTGTGTGTATGTGTGTATTTGTGTGTGTGTACTTGTACAGATATCTTTGTGAGGACCATTTGGAGCCTACAACCTACAGTGTGAGGACATTTTGGCCCATCCTCACTTTCTGACCCACTTTTAATGGGCTGTTACTGGGGTAAGACTTGGTTTTAGTGTTAGGGTTAGAATTAGGTTAGGGTTTGGATAAGGGTCTAGGGAATCCATTATGCCAATGATTGTCCTCACTAAGATGGGTGTACAAACAAACATGTGTGTGTGTATGTGTGAGTGCAAAGGGAGAAAGAGAGGGATGAGGGGCAATAGAGAGATGACGGAGTACAGGTCATGTGATATTATCATCATCATAACCCCATAGGGATCTGGTTGCCATGGAGTGTGTTTGTATGTAGAATGGGGGTGGGGGTGGTGATACTGTGGAGAGAAATACTCTGGCCGATGTCAAATTACAGGGGCTCGTCTTGGTTTTTAGATAAGGGGTTACGGTTAGAGTTAGGATAAGAGTTCAGGTTTGGCATTAGTAGTGTTTTTAATAACAACTTTATTTGGTAAAAGTACCTATTGAGGGATGATTATGGTCATATTCAAGATATAAGGAATAAATGAAAGCTTCAGGAGTCACACCCATTCGATGTCTGAGGGCAACACCCAACCTCTCCCTACCAGGTACCGCCTGAAGATGGCGCTGCATATCTTTGTACGATGGTGATGCCACAGAGGGCTGCGCGCGTGCACGAGCGTGTGCATGTAGAAGGGGGGAGACAGAGCCACTCGTCTGCCTCCTCTCCGATGGTGCTGCCTCTCGGCCGTCGCAGTGCTTTCGCCGCTCTCCTCCTCTCTCTGCCTTCCTTTCTCTCTCGCTTTCGTGCCCAGCGCCTCGCCTCGCCGCACCTCGCCTCTTCCTCCTCCACCTGCTCCTCTTCCTCACCCCCTTCCATCTCTCTTCCACTCCCCTCTCGCATGCCCCAGCCTCGCACCCCCGTCCAAGCATCCCGGCAAATGGTCGCTCCATCCCCGGCAACTCCGGACGCAGGACACCGCGGAAAGGCGCACGGCTCCGTTGCCTTCTGATCCGAGCACACTGCGGACTGGACTCGGAAGGAGAGGCGGACCACGCACGGGGAAGAGACACAAGGACAGTGGTCAGGATCTAATATAGGTAAGTCGTTGTTTATTTAAACACAACAATGTTACAGAGCAGGTGAAGGTGACAGCCTCGTCTTCACCTGAAACTGACTCTTTGGAGATGCATGTGCAACGTGACCTCTGGATCCTGCTTTAAATTAATGCCCCAGCTGTTGGTAACAAGCGTGCGGCGCAGCTGTGCTCGGATTGCCCAGCACACAACATACATTTGGCTCCAGCTGACTGCTGACCCAAATCCACCACTGGTTGTGCGTAAAAGTGCTCGAAGGGTGCGAAAAAGGCACCATATAAACACAAGGGCTGTGGTGACTCTGCCTCTCAAGAAGACCAATTATTTTGTTTGGACAACTCCTTCCTTACTAGAGTGGTTGTTGTTATATACTTAAAACATCTGGCTTTAAGGCTGTGGTGTGGCACATGAATTATTTGTATTCCAAATTCTGTGCCTCAGGTTCCACAGTTCTGCACATTGCTCCTGAATCTCATTGTCTGCTGATGCCCATTACGTTTTATGGAATTTCCTTTTGTCTGCATGGCTGTGGTGTATGGGAGGTGATACAAGGATAAGAGTATGGGTGAGACTCCATACCTTTTCCCACAGCCATACTCCCGCTTTGATCAATAGACATTGCAGGAGGGGGGTTGTGCTCTGGCAGTTTGTCAAGGGCGTGCAATATATCCAGCAGATGATTTTGAGGAGAAGAGGAGGAGGAGGAGGAGGAGGAGGGCCAGGCTGCTGTGAGGCATGCTGTGGGTTCATGTTCAACTGCATGTCAGCACTTGGGCCAGTTCATGATGGACAGCAGAGGCACAGATGTACAGTACAGAGGGGGGAAAGGGTACTGGTACATGCTCAGGTGTAGAAGGCATTATCTTTAGGCGTGTGACACTTGGAAAATCTAAAAATTGGGTTTTTAGGTTGGGCAGCTCGTGTAGCCAGGTAAGCAGCCGTGTAACAAGGAGAAGACAATCCCCTCTAATTCCCCTTAAACTGACCTCTGGTGCAGGAACATAGGGATAAAGATTTTTTTCTCTCCCTCCCGTGTCTTCCACAGATAACCAGCGCTCAGTCTGTTTAATCCAACATATTATACATTTTTCCAGTACTAAAAAGTGATGGCAGTACAACACTCTCCTTGCTCACAAGTCGCACATCTTCAAAAACTTTATAGATTTTTTTTTTGTTGTTGAAGGATAAGCAGCATTACAAAGGACCTATCAATGTGGGAACTGTCTGGCGTCCCTCACACACTCTCACACTCCTCTCTCGCTCTATATTTCCTAAAGATTAGCTTCTTTTATGTCCTGTGAGTGTCTCCAGTGTTCATGAAATGCCTTGTCCTTCATCAGGGACACAGATTAAGCTAATTCACACAGCAGCACAGGCCTAAGGCCTAATCACTATGCTGTGCCGGCAGAACAGAACGGTCTTTATAGTGTGGTAGCCGAGAGGGAGAAAAAGACAGGGGGAGAGAGAGCAAAGGAGGGGAAGGCTAGCCGCCGGTGCTTATTGATCGGATGGAGGGGCTGCTGGCAGGCGTCCACAGGATGGAGTGCTGACGACAGTCCAAAGAGTTGCCGGGATGTGCTGGGCCGGTGGTTGCCTCACAGAGTGGTGCTGATGAGAGGGGACGACTTTGAGTTATAGTTATCCTCCCAGTAACAGAGCAGGGGCAGAGAGGATTTGAAAACACTGTAAGTGTTCTGAATTAGATCTGGGTGTGGTTTAGTGCAGATAGTGTGAAACATGTTGGACTGGAACAAATACAATTTGTCATTCATGTAGTGCATATACTGAGACATATTGAGAGGATATGTTGTAGGTGTGTTTTAGTGTAAGGACTGTGAGCATTGTGAAGTTTTGATGTCAGCATTGAAGGTTAATCTCATAATTTAGTTTTATATATTTAACAACAGGCAGACACTTTTAAATGGGATGAGACTGTTCTCCTTTCCCTTGTTCCAGGATTTTTTCATAATTCATGTAACAGCAGTAGCACACGGAGCACCTGAGTTTGAAAAAGACTATGAGTTTCCACTATGTTCAAAGATGCTCTTTTATACTTGACCTTTGCCCCCCCTCTGTGTCACACTGTACATTTAATATTCCAGCACAAGATACACCCGGAATTCAACTTGATTCATATATGTTCCTGAAAGAAGTGGGTGTGTCCATCTCCTCTCCTCAACAGTGTTGGCATTTTAATAAACAACTCAAATATTATATGGATTAGATGAAGGCATAAATGGCTTTCCTCTAGAGAAGCAATGGGTCCCAGTGGCAGATATGGCAGCTCTTTGAGGTGGGACACTAGCCCAGCAGCTTGTGCTGCTCAAAAGCTATTGTTGCAGTTATTTGTATTGCTGCCAAAATAGACTGTCTTGTATTAGCAGTCAAATTTTTGTTGATTCAACAATAAACCCAATTTATAAACTATTCCCCTTGAACCAATATCTTTTACTTCTACATGACGAAAAGAAATAAAAAAAACAGAAATTACAGCTGTAGAACATGAAGCACCTTCAAGGTGAAAAAGAGTCTGAAAAGCAGATGCTTTGATTTCACCCGTTTGTGTCCTTGAGCTCTGTTACCTGCGATATGTTGTTTAGGTTTTCCTCCATATATCCACTGAACTGCAATTTGAGTTAGCCTTGGGCAACTGGCTGACATCTGATCCATTCTTGCTGATTGCATTAACTGCATATTCACGGACATAGGGGATGTGCTAATTGACAGCCTCGCCGTACTCATCAATCAGATGTCTTGATGCTTGTGTCAGTGACTAGATGCGTATGTGCTCGTTTAATGATAAAAAACAGTGATGTGTCACTGCTAATGGACAATTTTACAATATCCCCCATTACAGTGGAATTGTTACAAGATTGCAGACATGTTACACGCCATTAAACCTCTAATATCACTCTTCTTTTCCCTCAAGGGCGCCATGTAGTGCACCCAACATGGCTATGTATCCCTATGTATCGGCATATGTCCAACTAATATCCTAGATGTAGAAAGTTTGTCCTTTTACAGTCAGTCTTGAGCTAGTTTAATCACAAGTGATTTCATTATTAATCAGAGTTGGAATGGAATGCATTAGTATCAGGGATATATTTCTATATAGAAATAGAGATAGAGTTTTTTATGTTATGTGCAGAAGCGTTTTGGGGAATATACTGGATTGGCAGCATATTTATAAGGAAGGAAATTCATTTGATTTAAGTTATGAGAACTTTAAAGTAATTTTGCGTAGACACCACAAATCATGCAGCATGCCACATTGCATGAGTCAGTGCTACTGCAGTGTTCGCTAAGTTACTTGGAAAATGTAATCATGATTTACTTATGGACAAACTCAAACAGGATTAAAGTTATTTGACTAATTCAAAAGTAATTGCCAGCTGCAAGGTGTGCATTATGCAAATGTAGGGCATTGTGATGTCAAGTGATGCCATGATTCCCCAGAAGTATTGGCCTTGTTCCTGATGTGGTTTTCCAGGAGCTTCAGGAGCAATGTTTTCTGTGGCAAGAAGAGCTCCCTTTATCTCAGGGCTTTGGTCTTTAGAACATGGCAAACCTTTTTACGTTTATAATCCTGCAACACACTAGAAGCTGAAAAAGCATTTCTCCTTTAAAAACTCCATGATGTGGTTAATTACCAGCTCAGATGTGCATGTAACACTCCACAAACCCTCAAAGTAGATGTGTGGGTTTCCCAATACCTTCAGCTCTGAACATTTACACTTACCTGTATTTTTGGCTAGCATCCGCTCAGCCAGCTATAAGAAGGCAACATGTAAGTCAGATCGGAAAGACGGCATAGTATTCAAACACACTGCATAATGAGTTGAACAGATGTATGCAGCTGTGCAAAGTGTGGTTAGGAGAGCCCATTTGCCAGAAGATCTGGATTTGAGCAGGACACAAAATCCCTCACAGCTTACAGGACGTTGGGGGATCTCTTACCCTCATGACGGGGGAATCAGGATGACTGATTTTTCGCTTTAGGGGTGTGAACATGGCAGCAATTCTCAGAACACCAACAAGGAATTGTTCATGACTTATTAGATGCTTCTGCTGATGTGACTTTGCCACCTTTCATTCATGCTTCCAAGCACCAAAACTGTATCCTCTTGCCATCTGCTGACCTTCACGTGAAAGAGAGAGGAAATTATCGGCAGCTTTGAGGTCAAAGAAGTAGACAGTGTCACCACATTACTGCAGCTGAGACTGCAACTGCTTAGATTACCTGTTTGAATTTAAGCTCGGCCTCTTTGCGTTTCAGTGGCTCCAAATGGCACTTGAGCTGAGTTTTGAAGAATACGTTGGCGAACAAATCATCTATTGGGCATTATTTTCAAATGTGGGGTCAATCACAGACAGCAGGTGGCGTAGGTAGTCAGCCTTCAGAAGTGTTGCTGAGCATTTCATCTTCCTACTCACTAATATCTCACACACTTCTTTCACTTGCGTTAAAAGACAAGAGAAGAAGAGGAGCTGTCCAAGTTAAACAATGCTTTAGATTTATGGCTTGGTTTCCACTGATGCCACACGTAGTAAAAATATATTGCCTCGTTGTACTGGAAGGTAGTAAAAGGTAAAACCATTCTCCAATTGCTGTGTATTGTGTATTGTGGTGATTAATGAGAGCAGGACGTTGAGGAATGCAGCAGGAAGAGGAGACGGACAGAGAAAGAGGGGAGCTAGCGATGTGTCCATGTTGAAACAAGTCCAAAAAGGTAGCGATATGTGTGTATGAGTGAGAGGGAGGCAGACAGTCAGAACCAGAGAGGGGTGTCTGCGTGGATGCCTTGAGTGTTTCTGCTGCCAATTCTCCTCCCATCGTCTAATGAGCTCGCTGCAGATGGAACTCCCTCTGTCAGCCCTCTGCTCTCCTCCTCCTCCTCCTCCACTCCATTATCCTCCCTTCTTCCCTTCAGTCTTTAGCGCAAGGCAGGGGAAACAAAGAAAAGAAGAATTAGAAAAGAAATAAAGGAAGGGGGGGGGGTGAA